GAATGCCTTAACTGCCTCCAGGTTTTGACGTGCCTTGCTATGTGACTTGTCGATCTGTCGCAGTCTCACGGCACTCACTCGCCACAGACAGCCGTCCGGGAAGTGTCTCCGCCCAGTGCACAGCGCGCCCTCCCCTCTCCCGGCTGGTACCACTTCCTGTACTCAAGGCCACGTTCCTCCCAGTGACGGGCCTTAATTCATAGGACTCGAAACACGCTGTTGCATGAGAACATTTTCGCTGAGACTACTGCATTTGCCCGACCTGGGCTGTCATAATGCAGCGACTGATAAAACTAAACCGCGCCGTCTTTCTTCCTGAGACCCGTCCCTCGTAGCTTCCTGAAACTGTATACTTTTACATTTTCCTATCATTTTCTGTAAGACCTCAGGTGCGGAGCATAATAATCGGCCTTTATAAAAGAGCGCTTTTGCTCCACGTTTCTGGGGGAGGGCTCTGGAACATGGATTTAAACCCACAGGGCCTTAGAGCCCCACCGACGTGCAAAGGGAAAGACTCTCTCGGAGTACTTGGGACTTGCCTCTAACTTGTTGAATTCCATGCAAGTAACTTTCACTTCTCCCTGTCTTTGCTGTGTCCTGATGTGTCTGCCGCTCCTGTTTGGACTGAATGCGCCATTGCAATTCTCGGAATTCCTCGCTTCCTGTTGCTCTGTGGATCTGTTCTGTTGGAATCCGGAACACTGGAATGATGGAAATATGTTCTTTACAAAGTAGCCGTGAGTATAACTTCTGTGTCATTTCTACAGAGACATTTTCACTCCGAGTTACCTTAAATTTAGCTCGCAGTTGGGTGAACTGTGGACCCAGGAAGCCTTACACTGACTCGTATTTCACGGCCTGCTCATAGCCGGCTTCGAATGCTGTGCTCTGACCAGAGTCCTAACTGTCCTTCAGAGTTAGCTTCTAGGAGGGAAAAACAGAGCTGGAAGACTGGGTGGGGCAGTTACCTACATATGGGCACCAGTGAAGAATGGGGCCCTCTGTTCAATCCAAACGTGTGAACGATGCTTTGAGCACACCAGCTTTCTAATAATGAGGATCTAACTGTGATAAAAACTTCTAGTTTTTTTTTAAGAATTACTTTATTGAACTTTATTTATTTATGTATTTTAATTTGACCAGAGAGGGACAGGGAGAGAAAGTGAGAAAGCAAGCCGCCAGGTCCCAGACTTGAACCTCGGTTGACCGTGTGGGAGTCCAGCACCTTAACTACCACGCCACCTGCTGGCCCCTCCCCATTATGATTTAAGGGTAAATAAGACTTAGCTCTAATAAAAAAATTACCTGAGACACTGCTCACCCAGTGGCCCAAACTGCATGTGTATAGTGGGCCGGTCAGGAAGTCAGGTGCATTTACCGCACCAATTCAGAAAGAGGTTTCTTTGAATTACTCATGGTACTGTTGCTGAGGTCATCAAAGAGTCAAAACTATATAGAAAATAGGATGATTGTTTATTTTAAAACCTGAATAAATCTGATTTCCCTGAAGAAGGTGGTAGCAGAATCATAGGAGACGCCGAAGTGACATATCTGACCTGGCTTAACAGCTCTAAAGGTGGTGTCTGCTGATTGGCAGTGATCATGAAAGCCTTGAGGGACTTAGGAAAAACATTGCTTTGAACTCAACATTTTGATGTCATAAATATGAAGAGAAATTTCAGGAAACTGGTAATTAGTACGAGCAAAGTGGCTCATTGAAAAGGGATTTAATTTTTTTAAAAAACTTTTTAAAGAACTGTTTTATTTAACATTTATTTATTTATTTATTTTAGTTTGACCAGAGGTAGATGAGAGAGCTAGAGCGAGAGCGAAAGAGAGAGAGAGAGAGAGAGAGTGAGAAAGCAAGCCACCAGGTCTGGGACTCAAACAAACTGCTGTTGGCCATATGGGAGTCCAGTGCCCTTAACCACCATGCCACTTGCTGTGCCCCCAAAAGGGTTTTTAATATGATCCTAAAGGGTTTTGAATTTTTCCATGATGAGAAACCCTTTCTTACTTTGTCGATTTGGTTATTTGGTCAGAATCTTACTGTTACTGTCTTAGTGTTGAAAATATTTCAGCTGAAATTTTTTTCCCTGGCAGATCTCTTTAATTTTTATCTCATTCCCTTGAGGTTTATAATAACACCGTATTGTTAATTCGTTAGCAATTCATTTTGGCTGTTCTGCAGTCTGTAAAAGAACTTGTGTTGGTGAGGCCATACACGCAGTTTGACTTCCCCGCAGAATCATTGGTCTGGCTTGCTCGGCAGACGCAGGAGGGAGCTGGAGGCGTGAGGCAGTAGTGCGGCGATGTGCAAGTCACTGTCCTTTGTCTTTCCCAGCAACAGAAGAACCTGGAAGGCTACGTGGGATTCGCCAATCTTCCAAATCAAGTGTACAGGAAGTCGGTGAAGAGAGGGTTTGAGTTCACACTTATGGTAGTAGGTGAGCTGCAACTTCTGTCTGAGATGGAGTTTTGATCTGCTTGAATACGTTTAAGAAAACAAAAGCCCAAATAACTGCAGTGCTATTTGTTAGATTTTCATTTATTACGCAAATACATTTTAAAACTTAACTTGGTAGTGAAATGGGATCTGTGTATTTTCGTGCCTGTTGTTTAAAGGCAGGAGCTTGGTGAAAGTTTGGAGGTGGTGGTGGGGAGCAGGAGCGCCCCCCTCAGTCGACAGTGCTGAGAGGGCGGCCTGGGGCTCCTCTCTAGTCTAGGATGGTCTTGTTCTCTGGCGTACCTGTACCTGCAGGGGTGCACTTCCAGCCCATGTGCACCCCACCGAAATCGACATGCACTCTGAATTCTTAAGAAGAAGCTGGTCTAGAGGATGGGAATAATGCAAACCGTTTCAATTACCCCTGGAATTCCATTCACTGAGTATGAGCCCTGGGATGCGTGAAATTTGACTGTCCTTGCTAATGCAGTCTCACTTTCCTTCTGTACTTGATCCTGTGAACACCTTACCCCGCCTTTAGTCCGTTCGGAGGTACTGGTAAGGATTATTTGGACCGTAGCTTGGTGACATCTTCATTACATGCCAGGGAGTGTAAGATTAGTGTTCTAGTCCGTCTCTGTCTTAAAGGACGGTATGATATTGTCATCTCATCTAGGCTGACATTAGTCTAAACCATGAGTATTATGCAACTTTTGTATTTTTTATCCTTGTTTTATGAGGGTAAAAGCCAGGAGAGTGGACTAACTGTCCTTGACAGAGAAGCTGAGTTAATGATAGGCTTTCTAGGTAGTGCACATTCATTTTTGCTGATTACGTTTCAACATTTGATTGTCTATTTTGGTGATGAGCTGAATTATTTGAATTCACTATGATATAACTCCTCCGTTGGGAGGAAGAATGGTTCATCTGTTGGCCATTCTGTTTTTCCTGTTTGGTATGTGGTTGTCTGGAAGTTGCAAGCATTGTAAAGGTCCCCACGGTTCAGTGTGTAGGGTTTGCACATCTGATACTTGGCAGAGTCGTTGCACTCGCCTGGCCTAGCTAAGTGGAAATGCAGTACACCCTGCTTGCTGATTGCCGCAGGGAGCAGACGTGGGCCCAGACAGAGCTTTTCCTCTGTGGGTTGATGACGTCATCCCAGTGGATCGAGAAGTGCTACGTTTAACTTCACACGTGTATCGTTGTCGCCTTAAAAGACAAACCATGGACAAAACAAAGTTTTTGTTTCATTTTTTTAAATTTAATTTTATTATTTCTTAAACAAATAGCCAGTCTTCTGGTTTTGGAGGAAGTGTGCACCCTGGCTGTACCTAGTTTATTAGCCTCTCTAATCAGTCCTTTGTGCGATAGTCTCTGCTTTCTCTCTCCTGGATGACAAGGCCTCGGCTGAGGCTGGGGAACTCAGGCGTTCTGCCTGTACCTTGTCTTCCGGCTCCATCTTGCACGATGTTCATACGGCTGGCATTTTTTGCGTTGACGGGTCGCGTTCAGGGACTGCGTCACCGCCTCTGCTCGACTGCAGCCGGCATCCGACAGCCACCTGTGAGTGTCTGCACGCTGACCAGCTTTCCAAACTACCTCGGGCCAGACCTCACGTCGTTGGTAAATCTCACACCGAAACCAACCTTGCTTCCGTATTCTCGACTTAAACGTGCCAGCTGCTCCTGAGGAGCTGGAGCCTCCTTTGAGATCTGAACTCAGCACTGGGCTGTTCCAGCAGCTGCCGACTAAGGCTTGCAGGCTCCCCGGTGCAGACATGGCCGTGCATCCCCGCTGGAGCGCGGTGTGCTCGTGCTCCCCTGGGCGACTGGTTCTGAAGAGGGTGCAGTGTAGCCACGTTTTCCCTCATAAAGGAGTGTAGGATTTATATGACAAGATGAGCTATACAGAAGGTGACATTTCTTGGAAATAAATGAGTGAATGGAATTGTATGGAAATTAAGAGCCGTAGAAGTTGAAGGAATAGCAGGTTTTTCCACTGGTGGGACATTATCATTCCCTTATTTTGAGGCAGAGTCACCAGGCAGATTTTTGGACGAGAACTGTGGTCGTGAGTGTGGGAGCTGTCTAGTCAGCAAGTCAGAATCAATAGCCACACAGCTTACTGTGTGCCAGGCAGGGTGTTGGCGTCAGGGCCGGAAAGGTGGGCAGCCTGGATCCCTCACGACCGGAAAGGCGGGCAGCCTGGATCCCCAAGGGTGGGAAAGACCAGTCAGCCTGGATCTCCGAGGGTGGGAAAGGCCGGTCAGCCTGGATCCCCGAGGGCCGGAAAGGCAGGTCAGCCTGGATCCCCGAGGGCCGGAAAGGCCGGTCAGCCCAGATCTTCAAGACTGTGAGGCATCATCACAAGGGACTTGGGATTCTTGATTTCAGAGATCTGAAAGTTTAGGTGAAGGGCCAGCCCAGGGCATGGTGGTGAAGTGAGCTGGGTCTGATGTGGCCAGTCGCGTGGTTCAGACCTAGTTTCAGAATACGCCAATATCCTTACAGTGTTTTCAGGTGACTGGGTGTTGTCACGTTGATTCCAGCCCCGCGAGGTAGTGGGGGAAATGCCAACCTGACAGTCGCTGGCTGGAGAAACACACTGGGCACGTGTGTGCGTTTTTCATGCTTCAGGTCAGACCTAACAACCTTGTTTATAAATCTCAAGTCCAAATCCTAAAGGGTGGGGGTTTTGGCAAGACCATCTCAGCGGGGGTGCTCGCTCTCCCTTTCTCCCGTCTGTCTCTGGTGAATATATGTGCACTCTTGCAAATTAAACAATCAACCAGAAAAACCACTTAGTTGAGCACACAGTCAGGGACAGCTCGTCAAATAATGAAGGCACTGAGGTCTCGCTCAGGGGAGTCACTGACGTGTCCCGCTGGAATCACACTGTCCTTCGTGTGCCTCCTGATCAGGTTTAACTGTGAATAACTACCTGTCAGCTGTGAAACCTTGAATTTACTAGAACCCTAAAGTGAGATAAAACTCCAGATACTGTAGAATACTTGTGTCTGATCAGAGATATTTTTAAAAACTAGTAGTGAATCAATTTTTAATTCCTTGAAGATAAAATTCAAAATTTGGGGCCAGCAGGTGGTGTAATGGTTAAGGTGCTGGATTCCACACAACTAACTCTGCAGTTTGACCACCCTGTTGTTCAAGTCCTGAACCCGGCAGCCTTACACCAGGTACATATGTGTGTGCCCAAAATCTCAGGGGAGAATGGAAGAAGAGGGACTGGCATGGCCAGCCCCCAGGAGGGGTGATTTCTCACCTCCCTCTGTCTCTCTCCAGCAAGTGCACTCTCACTATAGCAAAAAAATTAAAAAAATAGTCTCGATTTTATAAAGTTTTGTGTAGAGGTTTTTGTTTCTATGTAGTGATATGGCAAGCATCACCTTCGGTGTTTGACCTGTACCAAAATGTCTGGTAACACACCAGCATTTTAAATTTTTGTTGATGAGTAAGAGGGCATCCTAGTTCAGCCAATCGAGGTTCACAGTTTGTCATCACCTGTTTTCTGTTTGCTTCGTTAGAGAAAGTTTAGGCGCTAGGTGGTGACGAGAAATGCAGATGACTGACAAGTTGGCATTTCCGCACCTCCTGGTGGTGTTGGATTACTGTAACGGCATACGGGGTTACTCGGAAAAGGCGGAAGGCAATGCTGGCTCGTTCTATGTCTAGGCTGTTGGGAATTTATGCTCTTTTTAGGGTATGTGGACAAATTGCTGTGAGTAATGTTTTAAAATTTCTTCCTTTTGCTCTGTATTTTTATTTTATGTTTGATAATAGAAGTAATTTAACCACGTCGGCCCCATAGCCCAGCGGTTAAGGGAGCCGGATCCCACGTGGCCTACGATGGTTTGAGCCCTGACCTGGTGAATTGAAAACCACGCTGGGCAGTGGTGTGTGCTGGGCGCACTCCCTGGGGTGCTTTTTCCTCCCGCTGCCTCTGCTCTCAGCGTGCATGGGTCTTCTGGCAGTAAGATGGGGGGAGTAATTTACCAGTGGTGACCGCACAGCACTATGAGTACACAAAAATTACTGACTTGTGCACCCTGAAGCTGTAAACTTTATCTCACTTAAAACAAAGCAGAATTTAACTTAAGTAAGAGCAAGTTTAGAAGAAAAAATTTTCATGCAGTTCCATATATCCACTCTTAAATTTGTACATTTCTTCCGGATGTTTTACCTGCATATCTTTAAAAGTGTTCTGGGGGACAGAGTTAGCATGGTAGTTAAGGCATTGGATTCCCACATGACTGGCCGTGGTTCGAGAACTAGGCCCGGCAACTTGAAAATCACACCAGGTGCATGTATGTGCATGTGTGTGTGCATGCATGCCCAGAATCCTGAGAGGAGGATGGAGGAGAAGGGACTGTGGTGTGACCATCTCTTCTTCTCTCTATTTCTGTCTCTTTCCACTGAGCACATGTACCCTATGGCGAAAACCTAAAAATAAAAAAGATTTTATAGTAGAGGTATTGTAAGTCATTGCATAAATTAGGAAACACAGAAGAGCAACATAAAATAAGTAATATCACCTGCCACCCAGTGGTGACGCTCAGGTCTAAAAGCAGGTGGCATTCTTGTTTGTGTGTGCCTAGAAGGTTCTGTGACTGCTCTTGAAGCGCCCCTGTCAGTTGCAGCTATCTGTGATGTCAGATGTCTTTGGTGACCTAGCTGTTGGTTAGATTGTTGTGTCCAGTGGCTTGTATGTGCGATAATTTGCCTTCTTGTCAGGATAATTATAGTAGCTAATATTAATGCCACAATAAACATGATTTTAGTTATCTCTTTTGGCGTTTTCAGTGATTTCCTACGGAGCAAGCTTGGGAGTTTGGAGTGCTGCAGCCTTAAGGCTTGTGCGTGGTTTCACCGGTGATTGCCCTGACCCAGGTCCGACCCACTCTGCTGTCTTCCCAGGTGCTGCCCGCACCTCCCTCTCTGCTGATGTGCTTGCAGTGTGGTGTCATTTCATCTGTTTTGTGATTGC